CAAAAAAAAAAAAAAAAAAAAGAAAAAAGAAAAAAAGTTAGAGCAGAGTGATGGATGGGGGGATGTTATTTTATTACTGGGGTTAGGAAGGCCTTGCTGAGCAGGTGACCCAATTCAGTGTGCTAGGCACCTGCCACCTGCCACGCTCAGCTCCCTCTCACAACTTTCCTTCAAGACAGGAAATAAGACCTCCATTTTCCAGACGGGAAAACTGAGGCAAAGAGACCTTTCCCCAAGGTCACACAGCTAGGAATGGGTGGAGCTGGGGTTTCAATCCAGAAACCCAGGGAGTGGGAGATAGAGGTTTTCCAGAAAAAAGATTGGTTTAATAATCAAAACAGCTCTTGATAACTGAGTGGGTTTCTGTGCCAGGCCCCAGGCTCCTGGGTCCCATGCATGATCCCCTTTTCCTGCCTTACAGAAGAGGGAGCCAAGGTCTAAATGGGGTGAAGGTTAGCAGCCACCTAGAGAGGTAGGGGTGTGGATGGTGAGCTAGGTTCCCCTCCCTCTGCATGGAACCCAAATTGAGAGTCCTCCAAATCAAGATACTCCAGGTACTGTCAGTAAGGTACTGCCAGATCTATTTGCCTTTACGTCTTGGATGGGGGTGGCTTTCCTGATGCAACACCAAGGTCCAGAGCATAGGTGGGGTCGGAGAGGGCGGGCCTGGCCTGACTTCCAGCTGGCTCTCCTGCTCCCTAGCTGTGTGACCTTGGGCAAGAAATACCCCTCTCTGAGCCTCAGTTTCCTCATTTGCTAGAATATGGGGATCCTAGGGGTCTTCTCCCTTTAGACTTGCTGTGAGCTCAGAACCAGCTGAAGAGTCGTGATCCATCAAGCCCTCAGTAAACATTAGCTGAGGTGTCCACAATTCTCCCAAGGCCAAGCACCTAAGAGTGTATTGTTCTAATGATCCCATCACAGCCCCTCCTTTGCCCACCAGGCTCTAACTCTACAGCTGAGCCAATCATAATCCCCCCCCCCATCCCACCACAGGACCCTCTCCCTGGCCCAGCCCTGAATATAATTCCATTTCTCACAAATCCCCAGGAGCACATGGCCCAGAGACTGGAAATCTAGAGCTGTGGATGAGCCCCATAATCAACGCTGACCAAAAGCTCAGCTCGCCAAGAGTCTAGTACCAAGTTAAGAGTTTTAATTCCTACCAAAGGGGAGGAACCCAGGTATCCAGGCACCCAGGACCTGGCTCAAAACAGGGCCTTCCCAGCATGCAAGGCTGGGAGATTCCATCAGGGAGGGAAACCAGAAGTCCCTTCCCTGGCTCTGAGCAAATGCCCAGCACCTCAATCAGAAGTGATAAAGAGGTGGAGGGGGTGACAACACCCCCCGGTCCAGCTGGCCTCAGCTCCCCTCCCCCAGGCCGCTGCCCTCCCCAGAGGTGCCCCCTGCTGCCACACTGGTCCAGCCACCTGGCCAGTTATTTCTGGCCAAGGGGAAGGAGAAGTGAAACCAGATTGGGGGGGTGTGTATGGCAAATCCCCAGACCAGTCTTCTGGGGCTGGCCACACCCTGTGGGTGGCCCTGCTTCCCTGCCCAGCCCCCATCCTCACCCACCACCCTCACCACCACTAGTCTCAGCCCTAGGACAGGGCAGGCTCTAGCCACGCCTAGGCTGCACCCGGTGGGGAGCCAGAAAGGGGAAGTACGCTCACTGCCCCGCCTGTCCAGGTCAGCCCCTTCTCCCACAGGAAGCTGGGCCCTTGAACTTGAGACCAGGGACGGCATTCCGGCTTTACTCACCTGAGCCCTGGCAGGGGCTGGGGCCTCTGAAGAGCTGACAGCCCAGCTTCTTGTGGTCCATGAAAGCAGTGATGGCCTCCAACGGGAAAGTCTGCAGGCAGCGGCCGCAGGTCAACAGATCTGGGTGTTTGTCGGTCCACGGCTGGCGGTCTGCAGGGAGGAAGCGGGTGGTGAGCGTGGGGTGGGGCCAGGATGGGGCCTGGGGGTGCCGAGGGAGAGGGGAAACCCGAAGGTCAAAAGGGGGGCTGGAGGCCAGGACCTGGCGAGGAAAATAATAAGGCAGGGGGGGTTAGTGCGGGTGGGGGGGGGGCGGGG